GCGTTCTTGTGGTATGTCCTGTTTTCTCTTCCGCACGGCAGTGGATTTTCAGTTGTTGATTCCTCTTGGGCAATTGCTTTTCCCCGATGACTTACCATAAACTGTGTGAGGGCGAAATTCCACTGGAAAGGGCTCCCCTTAAATGAGTCGCCGGGGGCTTCAATTCTAGGAAGTCTTACTCATTTTGTTGGTGCGAAACACAGCCCTCCGCTCATCAGCAGCAGCCTTGCTGTTCTGAACTTCTTCATCGTGAAGCTGGGGTCCTGCAGGAGCTTCGCCTGTGATCTCCGCCCACACCAGCGGCGGGGCACTGTGGTGCCGGACGGGCCCGGGGAGGGGTCCTGAACACACAGGGCTGAGCGTGTGCAGGGTGGCTGTTCTTTCAGGTTAGTCAAGGCCTGTGAGCAGTCCCATCACATCCTCCTGCCAGAGGATCAGAAAGCCCTGTGCCCAGGCTAGTACCAGGGGAGAATGCGACTCCAGACAGACAGCTGACTGCTCTCTGCATGGCTAACCATGGGGATTCTCTTATCCCAGGCTCGTGTTAAATTCAAATGCTGGAATTATTTTTGACCCGTAAGAGAGGTTACAAATGAGTGGAAGCCATTCAGATCATTCTAGCTTGTGTGATTGGGCCCAGGAGCTAGTGGTTAGTAGTTTTCACTTACAGTATGTGCTCTGGTTCATGTTTCACTGTTGATTCTGAAGAAGTCCGCTGGGTTGACTTTTTCAGCGCTTTTGAGATTGTTGAATATTCGAGTCAGGTCCCTATGCGAGCATTAAGTGCAGCAGAGTTAAGTCTGTCTCAAGTAGGAATACCATATGTTAGCATACGTGAGCAGCTGTGTAACCGCTTGTGGATCCAGGTTTTACTGTCTCTTTAAGAGTGCAAAGCAGCTGGAGGTGTTTAAGTGAACAAGGTATCTCGATTTATGAGTTCGGTTTTTTTGCACTTAAGGCATGTGAAGCCATCAGCTCCTGTCTTTTCCCTGGGGTTGGGAGGGTTAATGGTGCTGTGCCAGGACGCTCTGCCCTGGGGGGTTGACAGCTCTCCTTGGACATCTAATATGAATATCTGAGCCCTTCCTCCACACCACTGATCTCATGGGCAGCTAGTCTGAATGGGGGTAATTATTTCTGTTATTCTTATGTCGTTGTTTTTTTAAAATCATTATCATTCTTGTTTTCACCATCTCGCCAGTAGTTCACAGAAAACCCCAGGCAGGCTGCTCTGTGCCAGAGAATGTAGAAAACAATGTAGCACCTAGAGGCCATCCAAAGGTGAGGCTGGAAAAGAATGCCGGAGTCATTTGAGAGTGTATTGCTTCAGAGTTCAAGGCTGGGGTTAGCAGCTTGTACAGAGTGGAGCAAGAGTGGAACCAGGAGCAAGGGTCTTCCCAGTTCCAGTTTCTACCGCGCTGTGAAGTTTCAGTTATTATCAGTTAGTATGATTCTTTTCCATTTCTGTGCAATGTCCTGGACAGGTCACTGTGCTGTGTCTGGAGCAGATACTACCGGTCACTGTCCAGCAACAGACACAGCCCTGCCCCTTACACTGCTGTACCCCAGTCATCAGCTTGGGCATGATGTTCATGAAGGGGCTGAGAGCAGAGGACCCTCTCGGGTTTGTTTTTAAACCTTGGAGAATAGCTGCTCTTCTCATCCCTGCACTGAGCACTGTGATGAAGATAAAACTCATTCCATTGGCCTTTGGTCCAGTCAATGGTTTTCAAGCTGAGGGCTCTTCTGTCTAAGCTGCCTTGAGGGGCTGGATGTTTTATGTTTGTTTTTTTATTTCTTGTGTGTTTTGAAGGATCTATTTGGTTAAAATAAGCTCAATTGCATATTTGTCCCATGGCCTGCAGTGTGTAAATCCTGAAATGGATCAAAGTGCTGAGCAGCGGGAGCGCTATCTTCCTGAAGAAACAGTAGCTGGATTTGAGCTCCAGGTGCGAGAGGCTTCAGTAACTAGTGAATGGCTCCTAGCTGCATGCTGTCTTAGGAGCCAAAAATGTAACCATCTTCCTGCGGTTTGTCTTTGTTCCATCAGATGTCCAGGTTCAGACCCTGTGAACAGGAAAAAATGTTCCCAACGTGTAAAACAAACGCAGTTCAGAAGTTAAAATGTATAAAGTGGCAACTTACGGCTGCATCATTGCTCCCTAAAACTGAGGAATACTATTGCTTTTCTTAGGAAATTAGCTCAGCGTTTTAATTTCCCCCTTCTGATCCTGACCTGGAGTGTTTACATCCTTGTACGACACCGCTACTGCAGTGGTGTGGGTGCACTGTGGGTTAACAGCTGGTGTGACACCTTAGAATGCTGGAGAATGAGCTTCAGTCTGGGGAGCAAATGTTTCGAGACCTGTTCTCGTCAGACTGGGCTCTGATAAGGAGCCTTCAAGCCCGGTTTCAGTGTTTCTGCAGGAGCAGGTACCTATTTGTCTTCTCTTTCTTTGGTCTTGTCTTACGAAGTGGAGCAACACATGCACATTCTTTCAGTGAGTGAGAAGAAACAACATAATTCCTATTCCTGCCTCCCTCAGGCAGCTAGTTGAACTGAAACTCGAAACACCTTTTGAGCAGCTCTGTTGAGCTGTTGTCATTTCTTTAATAGGCAGTGACAGAAAAACACAGAGTTTGCACGGAATGCACGTGATCTAAATGGAAATTAAGGAACAGCAGTTTTGGGGAACAAAAGGCACTTTTTTAAAGGCAGAATGGATCTGGTTTAACTGGAGTTCTTTTTGAGAAAGAGGGTCCGATGAGCTTTAATGAATTATTGGCAACCAGTGAAGCAAAATGGACAGATGTGTCGGCTATCATTTGTAACTTTCCGAACCAATACCAGAGGACTGAACAGGTGGAAGGGCAGAGGGCAGAGGCAGTCCACGGAACTGCACCCTGTCACAGGGAGTGATTGTGATGCTGTTGCATGCAACAGTAAGGCTAACGGTTTCAATCCCTAGTCCTGGAGGAACACCGTGTCAGCTGGTTTTCATTCCAGCTGAGCTCTAAATCTCCCATGCGGATTCTTGACATTAATTGATCTGCTGGCGTGTTTAGACTTAAGGGTTATCTTGTTTCTGCACTCAGTCCTGAGTTTTGCACATATCTCATTTCAAGGGCACTGCTTCCAACAACTGAACATGGAACTTGAAGCAGCATCTCCTCGATCCCCTTTATTTCTGACGAAACGGCTCTTAACAGGTGTTCTATGAAACACAGGTGAACATGGCACTGTTTCAGCCATTGTCATAATGTGTTTGCGAGGTCCAATCGATCTGTTTCCTACAGAACACCTGATGAGGGCAGCTCAGCCTCAGATACAGATTGATACAGGCCGATACTAGTCCTGAATACCATTCCACATTTTAACAGCTGCTTGCAAAGAGCAAACTGACAGATGTGCCCCTAAACGGGAAACTGAAATCAGTCAGCCTGTGATGAGAGCTTGGCTGGAGAAACACCCAGAAAAGACAGTTTCTCCTGGACACGAGCTGACCAGCACTGGGTTACTAGAGCTGCAAGTTTAATGCGATAAGAAACAGATTTGCCATTTAAACCAACACCGGACTGAAGAAAGCAAGACCCAAAGACACTTGTCAAAGACAGTTAATAACTGATTTTCATTGCCCTGTGCTGTAATGTTTCGTAGTCTATTCCTGGGAAAAGCCATTCAGAATTTCCACAGATTTTATAACATTTTAATCGGCTTGCTTCACTTCTTTTCAATTCTTTTTAATTCACAAAGGTCACAGTCATGGACCTTTTAGTGTTAACAGTAAACATCAATAAAAACTGATTCATGCATTATTTTTGTAAAATCTGGATTAAAAAATGCTTCTAACTTGAGTCATCTTAATCGTTTTGCACATTTTGTTAAATTCCCAAGCGTTCTGGTACCAAGTAACTGAACTGGAAAAGAGACAATTGAAAGCTCTAATCCTGGCAGAACACAAAGCTTTGCAATTTTATACCTCCGACTTTTTTTTTGGAAGAATAAGAGGAAGTAATAATCCCCTCTCCACACCCACCCCCTCCTCTCTCCTGTCCCTTGCGTCCTTACGAGGTTTAGTGCTGTTTGTTCAGCGTGTGTTCAGCGATAACAGCTGGGTTCAGCGCAAGGTGAGCCTGGAAACAGAGACAAAGTGGAAGTTCAGGGAGAGGTGAAGGCAGGGGTGAGACAGAGGTCAGCCCATATGACATACAGATATATACAGGATGCCCTCATTATTATGGCCTGTTGCTCATTCAGTTGTTGCCCCCTTGTTGACTTGTTTGAATTGTGCTCTGATTTTAAACCCTGTGCTGAAATGTGCAATAGCTTGTTTTGTGAAAACAGTCCACGATGCGTACAGTGTGCCCTAGAGCAGCTCACATTGTAAAGGCAGCGCTGAACTTCAGGACTGCTTTCATTAGAGGGTCCAGCTGCCACTCAGCAGCCCAGAGGAGCTACAGGGAGTTGTAGGTCAAGCCCTGAGCTTCTGGGAAACATGGCCTGACCTTGCTAAACTGCTGTTGAAGATAATCAGGAGGGATACAAGAATTTCCTTTGGTTGGCAAAACGGACCATTTAAACCGGTCATTGCCTCTGAGTGCTCCTTCTCCTTTCCCTGTAATTATCCCTCGCTGGATAACTCTTTTGGTCTCTCTCTCCCCCTCTCGTTGTTTGTTAGGGTTTAAACTGTTTATTTGTGAGATTGGCAGTGATTTCAGAGTAGGAGGCTGTAATGGGGAAATATTCGAGTGTAGGGTCAGCCCTCGGCCAGCACGGTCCAGACCTTGGGAGGGGGCAGAGAGAGGTGCGCGACGCTCTGGTCTCCGCCTGCCCTTTGGAGGCAGAGCGGGTCCGGGAGCCTGGAAGACAGCCCCTTGAGACCCTCAGGACCGTGTCTGACATGACCTGCAAGCTGAGGCACACAGGCACATGTAGCCCCACTGCCCATGGCCCGCAGCTAACTGGTTGCTCTTCTTTGTCGTTTGTCATTTCGTCTCAGCTCCTGGACCTCTTCACTCAGTGGGATTGGTCCACGTACCTGGCTGACTATGGGCGCCCCAATTGCAAATACCTGCGGGTGAACCCCCACACCGCCCTGGCCCTGCTGGAGAAGTGAGTATCCCCAGAAACACACCTGACACTGGGCAGTGACGGGGGGCCTCAGTGCCAGCGTGGCTGACGGGGGCTGAAGCTCTCCTTGGCAGAGATACAGCATGCCAGTCTGAGTATGATGGGTTCCTGAGCACAGCGCTGAAATCACGAATGGCTGTGACAACAGAAAAAATCAATTTCAAATCAAAGAAGAACAGTGGGTAGCCGATCAGGTGATTGTGGGTAAGTGAGAAGCATGCCCAGAATTGCAGTCTTGTGGACACAAGAAAATAAAATAATGTTGGCTATCTGAGTTATTACTGCAATGAGGAAGATATTTGGAGTCTGGCACACTGCAGAGGAAATGCAGAGAAAAATGCCTCCATTTTTGGCAGATGAGATGACAAAATCTTCCTCTGTCCTCTCCCTGGCTCTGGCTCCATCCCAAAGGCAACAAATTGGTTCTGTTCCCTGAAACCACACCTCTCAGCAGTTTGCTCCTGGTGCTGTATTTAGTAATTGGCTCATTTGGCCTAGAGAAATCCCTGCTGTGAACACAGCCACACTAAACTGGAGGTCATGAAAATCACTGGGAGTAACAAAAGTTCAAATGACATGAAACAGTATTTAAAAAGTAAGTCTAGGAGAGTCAGATCTCAGAGTAGATCTGGGGCACTGAATTCCGGTCCCAGAGGACTTTAATCCATCACCTGCAAAACACCTGTGTTGAAGGGAAAAGTGGTCAAGAAATGAAATATTCAGTTCTGTTATACTGATGATTTCCAGATCACAGTAGATATATTGTGAAGTGACACCTAAGTGCAGAGATTTTGGGCCTCCTGTTATTGGATTTGATCTAGGTAACTAGAGTCTGAGCCAATTTATAGGTGAGCTTAATGTGCTTCTTCCCTTGAAGGTTCGAATGCAGAATTCTTGTGCTTCTTAAAATTGAAATTTAAGACTTTTGAACTGAACTCCCTAGTTGGCCAAAGAACAAAGTTGTCTCATGGTGTATCTAGAGTTACCAGGCAGCCTTGACTGATCACAGCCTTGTTTAAAGCAGAATTTTAAGTCCTGGTGTAGGGAAAATGCATAATCTGATCACTCAGTGCAGTTCAGGGAGCCAATGAAAACAGTGGGTGTGTGGGGGTCTGAAAGAGCAGTGGTGCTCTTAAACTCACCTGATTGTTAGGGGGCTTGCAGCACCTGGGGGAATCCCAAGAGCCAGGGGTTGGTATTGGACGCAGAGTTGCATGTCTGTCTGGCCTGCAGAAGCTCAGAGATGTACGATGGAGGAGAGAGAGAGAATCGTGTGCCTGACTCGAGCCGGCGCAGAACAGCTAATCCGGTCCAAGAACTCAGCAGGGCCTGGAGACTGGACCAGCGCCCTGAGTCTCCTCGCTGCCTCCCATGCTCGGTCAGGGAGAGGTCCTATGCTGACCCCCAAAAGACCATCTCTTTTCGAAGTCACTGCTTTCACCATCTTCCGACACCCTGCGCTACCCTCAGCCTTTGTGCACTATAGATCCACCCAACTGTTGCTCTGAATTTCAGATCGCTCTGTAGGTCTGTTGGGTTCCAGCCCGCCTGCCCGCAGCTCGGCTTAGCTGGTGACACCCTGGCACCGGGAGACTAGCCGGGCACCACTAGTCTGGTTCCAGCTTGACCTCCGGTCAGAGGAAATGGGTGCATCAAGACGCTACCCTTTTATTTCTTAACCATTCTACACAAGCCTTCAACATTCTGCCTTTTAAATGTGCTGCACCGCTGTTTTCAAGCTGAGATGGGGGCTGTGTCTATAATGTCATGTAATCAGGCAACCCACACTTCAAGCTGAAAAGTGTGCATTTAAGACAATTAGGTAAGGCCTACTTTAATAGCCTGCAAACACACTTGTGCCTTTCCAGGAGGTGAGCACAAGTACAGCAGCCCACAGGCCGGAGGAGCTATGTCTTCTCACGCCTGTTGTCCAAGTGGAGTGTGATCGTGCCGCGTGATGCGCTGGGTGGCTGGTCAGAACCCCGCAGAGTATTGGCAGCAGAAACAATAGCTCAGAGCAGCACAGAATACTGCAGAGAATTTGACACTCCCTTGAACAACATGGGAAACCCAGGGCTGGTGACAACCGTCTGACTCTTTCTTTCTCTGCCTCTCACCCTCGCCGTCCTGTGAAGGATTTCCAGAGCGTGAGTATTCTCCCTACAGCCTGCCTGCTCTGTGAGATTTGGCACTGTCTGCTTAACCGTTCTTCGTGTCCTTTCAGCCTTTTTCTCTTAATCTGTCCTTCCTCAAGGCCCTTTTTCTGTTTTGTGTTCGTTTTGCTTGTCTGCCTGCATATTTGTGGCCAGTTTTCAAAGTGCTCAAACCTTCTGTGATCCTGGCTCCTGAATGAGTTAGTCTCGCTTGTTAAACCAGCGAGAAGTAGCTTTGGACTCGTTCATAAATTATTGCTTTCTGCACCATTAAAATTGATTTTTCTCTAAATCTGTACATTTTTATTTCTTAGAAAATCTGAATCCCCATCAGACGGTTGTCTCAGTTTTTCATTGCCAGTTCTTATTCAGCTCCATTGCTCCCTGTTGCAGTACCAGCAGAGCTCTGGAAATAGGAACACAAGAATGGCTGCAAACGACAAGAAGCCATTCCACTGTCTGGCCTGTTTGGTAGTTGGTAACTAATTGGTTTCAAGAAACAGCTGGAAGAGAACCGCAAATCAAAATATCGGCTTCAGCCACATGGCTGGGTAGCTTGTTCCAGACTCCCACAACTCCCACTTACTCTGGGTAAGAAATGCCTCAAGTTCCCAGTTCAGTTTTAAATGCACTTCCATACATTTTAAAGAAAGGCTGGATTTTGAATACTTGTATCAAGTGTTGATACTCCTAGTCTCCTAATCTCTGTCCAACAAAATTCTGTTCCTCCAGCTGGATATTCACTTGAGCCCCAGGGTATACCTGCCTGCTCCTCTTCAGAGCAGTGATGTATTTTCTGTACTGTGGTGCCTGAAATGGTCTTTCAGGTCAAGTACTTGACGAGCAGTATAGAATTGTGAAGTGCAGTCAGGTGGCTCCCAGCTGTGAACCTGTGTTGTGAGGTGGAGATCCCTGAGCATGCTTTCTGCTTGCCTCGAGAGGGGCATTGCAGCAGGTTGGTTTCACTCTGAAAAGTAGAAGGGAGAAGCACGACGGCTCGGCTGCAGAGCTGGAGAAGGCTCAGGAGTCAAGCGGTGCTTGTGTTTCCTGGCTTGGGTGTGTGTGCCAGCGTGTTGCTTCCTAAACCCGAGCTGCTGCTGCTCCTCTCCTTTCTCTTTCACTTGTTACTCATGTTTCCCTCTCCGCCGGCGGGTCTTCTGTGCCCACTTGTGTGGCGGCGGGTCTGTTCAGTCTGTAGCTTCTAAATGTGTGAGTTCAGCGTTAGTAATAGAGTGGAGGAGCTCTCTCACTGCCTGATACAGGCTGAATTCACCATGACGACACAATTATTTCTGCTCTTCAACAGTGGCTCCCATTACAAATGAGCTATATTACTCTGCAAAGGTGTCATTTTTGGCCTGAAATGAGTTTTCCCCATGAAGCAGGAAACTTGGCTGGAGTGAGACTTGCAGTCCCTCGGGGAGAATGCTCCTGGCTTTAATAACTGGTCAATTCTGAGAGCCTCTGGGTTTCTGTCGTGAGACAGCAGTGCCACATCTCTGCCGAGCAATTCCGTTTGCTTGATATAAGATAAGAGGAGTATGTTGCGTGACAGGGGCTGGGGGTCACGTCTGCGCTGGGGGGGGCTGTGTCTGTGTGGAGGGGCGTGTTCTCCCTGTGTCTGCATGGGATGCCCTCCCGCATGCCAGAAGCATGCTAACTGGTCAGGATGATCGCATGTCCTGGGCAGCAGGGTGGTGCAGTGGTCAGCATTGATGCCTTGCAGCGCTGGGGCTGTGGGCTGTCTGTGTGGAGTTTGTATGTTCTCCCCGTGTTTGTGTGAGTTTCCTCCAGGTGCTCCGTTTTCCTCCTGCAGTCCAAAGACATGCTGGTGGGTTAATTGCCCTCTGGCACAGTTGGCTCTGGTGTGAGTGTGTGCCCTGCGATAGACTGGCGTCCCGGCCAGAGTGCATCCTGCCTTGTGCCTGTTGCTTGTTGAGTTAGGCTCCAGCTCCCCCGCGACCCTGAAGGGGATAAAGTGTTAGAAAATGGATGGATTACATGTGCTGCACAAGGCAAAATGAAAAGTAAAAGAATCTCTCTGATGTAAGAGTATTATTTTCATCTCAGAGAAACATACGATAAGCATATGCAGTACACAAGGACAAGGCCAATAAATGCCCTTGTTGCCCACTCAGCCTTTTTTACAGGAGGATTCACCTCTTCAGGCCCCGCAGCATCATGGGACTGATCAGCTATAGCAGTCAACAAGCCAGACAGAAAGTGAATTTAATCTTGTGTGTGTTTTCTCATGCTAAAGCTGCCCCCCAGCTCTTCGTCAGTGCTGGTAGTTCCAGGGGGAGTCTGCGGGGAATCTGGGGTCAAAAGCGATGGTCTGTGTGCTGCTGGGGATGGAGCAGTCATTGGCTCTGGCTGGAGGAGGTCCACCCAGCAGCGAGGCCGACTCTTAACTCCTCTGCCTGTCCTGTCTCTTCCTCTTTCCCCAGGATGAGGGACACGAGCCGGAAGAACAACGTGTTTGCGCAGTTCCGCAAGAACGAGCGCGACAAGCAGAAGCTGATCGACACCGTGGTCAAGCAGCTGCGCGGCCTGATCCAAGCCCACCAGTCCTGAGCCCCCCGCCCTGCCTCTGCTGTTCCCAGGGGAGCTGCGTCTCTCCTCCCGGAGCCCCCAGCGCTCCCCGCTCCTGCCCTCTGGAGGCCGGGGTGCTCTGTGAGCTGGAATCCACTCTCTGCTGAACCTCTGGAGGCCCGCAGGGGCCCTGGCCCTTCCCCGCGGAGACCTGCGTCTCTGCACACTCATGCTGTGAGCGCAGCTTGCTTCCCTGCTCTGCTCAGACGGCACGAGAAAGAGCAACAGAAATAAACTCTTCGCTACCTTTGTACAGCAGCAGATATTCCCAGTACCCCTCTACAGCACCGTGCTGAGGAGGGATATCCTCCTGCTAGGAGTACGAATCAGTACAGACTAATACCGAAACTGCAGTCTTCCCACAGAATGGCCTTGTCAGCTCGGAGCACCAGGCAGCTGGGTCCTGGGTTTGAGTGTTGTTGGGTGCTTTCTACATTCAGCACAAAGTTGTCTTTTTTTTCCTTGGGAGTGCCATGTTTTGTCTCGTGTGTGGCTGCATGTTTTATAGTGTCATCTTCATAATGCCCTCAGCATAGGTTCTTTGGCTTCTCAAATTAAAAGGTTATATAGCAATATTGCATTGTTGCTCGTAGTGCAGGATGATAAACAGTGCTACAGTGTATAGATTTCACTTTCAATGTTCAAGTAACTTATTGAAATATTCACTCCCTTATTTACACCTTGGAGGTCAGCAGCACATGATGTTTAAATGCTGCAGTCTCCCTTGCCTACAAATATCTTTGATAAAGTAGCCAAAGAAACAGAAGACAAACATATCTGCTGGCATTTAGAAAAACTAGAATATCAATTGGGTGATGAATCAGGCAGAGAGATATTTCCCAAATTTTACAGCACTTCTTTCCAAGTGCTGACAGTATATAGTTCCCAGTCCTAAAATGGAATCACACAAGTTATCCTGTTTGTGCAGTGAAATTCCATTCCCATTCCCTCCTCACACGCTCAAACACATGCTGCAGCTGGCCAAGGTCTTGCTCTCTGATTAATCCAGGGATACTGCATAGCACAACCATAAGAACTTTTCTCTCTTCTTTATTTGAAAAACTGCTTCAATGCTAGCAGTTGGACTGTCAGCGTGTGCTAAAGCTGCTGCTGTCAATAAGCTTCAGAGATACTCCTTTTCAGAGGTTTTAAAAAGCTGCCTCTGGCCTGGGAGGATGGCAGTAAGTGAAGAGCGGAAGCTCATGGGAACGGCAGCACGCAGAGAGCCGTTGTGCGTGTCGGCAGGGCAGAAGAACCGCTGAGCTGAACCTCTGCCTTCCAGACCAACACGACCAGCTGCGGACCACTGTCTAACCAACAGGCAGAGTGCCTGGGCCCTGGCTTTGCACTCTTCATCTTGTAATTATTTATAGATATTATAAGGCATTGAAAGCACATGCTGACAAGGAGCAGACAGAAGGGACTGAAGACAAGGCTGCATTAGCTCAGTGTCGGTGAGGTCTCCCCATCACTCCCGCTTGCTGGAGGCTTTATGGGCCACATCTTTTTCCCTGTAAGCACACTGGCTTCTGGGTAGGTTCCCCTGGACTAGGAAAAGTGCAGCTCTTCCACGCTTCTCCGGCACTCTGGAAAGCAGGATGAGGTCCGGCGGGTCGGGGGAGAGACACACACCTGCAGTGCTGACCGCTGTGCTGCAGCACTGGGAACTCAAGCATGAGGGTATCTCTGTGCCATTTGTTTACCTTGGATAATGATGGACTCAGGGGATGGGGGACAAGTACAAGTATATAAAGTACAAGCACAGCAACAAAAAGAAAAAAAAATTGAGATTTTTGTATTGTGTGTGCTATGAATGTGGGTACAAAGCTTGATTAGGGAATTCTGCACTGGTCTGCATTGTAGCCTTCAGGATAAGGGATGCCTGGCAATGAAAATTGGAATTTAAGGGCTGTTTTTTATTGTTTCCCAGCTTGGAAGTTTATTTTTATCATCCTTCTCTTCTTTCAAAGTCAGCACTGTGTGATATCTGCCTAGAATAGGCAGCCAAATAAAAGGGATGCTGTATGAGTGCGAAGAACAAAACTGCTCGGATATGATCCAGATTTCTAGCCCCCCTGAAGATCACAGCTTCCACAGCTCATATGTGCCAGAAGTCAGCTTTCCAGTGTGTGACTCTTGTGGGGTTTGTGTTTGCTTGGTGTCACAGACATTTTGATTATTCTGAATTCTTCTTTTATTACTGATGTTTCAAACTCTGTCTTCCCTTTTCTTATGATGACAACAGAAGACAGGACATCTGTTATGATACCGGTTTGTTTTTCTTTTGTTTTTGTACATACAGTATACAGTATGAGGAGAGAGATGTTTGGATTGATTGTTTGAAGCTGTGGGTAAACTTGTGTATGTGCCTTGATCATTTCTGATGGTGATCTTTTGCCTTTTTATTCTGGACTTGGGGTGTGCAGTTCTGGGATGTACCTGGAGTCAATGTTATTGATCTTTCTGATAAAGATAAAAGGGAACTAAAACTGGGATGTGAAGGCCACTGCATCAGAGAAGCACACTGGACAATAGGTGATCCCAAAGAAACAGCGCAGAAACATTACCATTGCATGCTGCCACATTGGAGGATCGTGGATTGTTTTAAGTCTCTCTGTTAATGTACTTCCAATGTCCAGGGGCAGACTGCAATTTGTACTACATTAAACCACTAATTACCCTGGGTGTCATGATACTAATAAAGTTTGAAATAAACATACAACTACATTAAACTTTTTTTTCTTTATTTTTGATAGTTCCTCCCAAATTTCCAGTTGTATTATTATAAAATTCATGTCACAAAACAAAGGCATGCTGTGGTTAGCTGCTGGAAAACTCTGGGGAAATACTCCCCTTCAATCACTGTACAGTCTTAGCTCTCAGGTCCAGCCGACAGATGTGTCAGGAGTTAAATACTCTGTCCTTTTCAGAAAGGCCGTCAGACAGAATTCCTATTGTTTGTGCTCTGCAGGAATGACACAGGGACCTGGTCTGCAGAGCAGTTTCCCACCTCTCCCTGCTCTGCAGGTGTGGCACCCGGTCTGCCCTATTGCTACTGTTTATATGCCTTCTGATGAACAGTCAGCTCTCACAGCTGAAGACCCCCAGTGCATCTCCTGGGTGCCTGCAGTGCATGTGAACTCACTGTTGTGTGAACCGCAAGGCTGTGTTGGCGAGAGCTGGCTGGTGGCCTTTGCGCAATTGTGCTGCCCAGAGACAGCTGGGAATGATGGCCTGACCTTCTGCTGGCATCACTGAATCCATGGCGACCCTGGGGACATCTTGTTCTTTAGTACTCTCATACGCTGGGAGAAAAGCCGTCTCCTGCCTCTGAACAAGAGAGAGTCGTGAGGGAGAAGGACTTGGGAAGTTGTGAACGAGCTGCAGGAAGGCGGATCCAGTTCTTGTGCACGGGGAAAAGCAGGGTTCTGGAGTACAGATCTCATTCAGCCTGTGTAATGGACTGCTGTAAGCACCTGAATGGAGGAAGGCTCCTACTGCAGCAGGAGACAGGAATCGGGAGCCGAGAGAACAAGCAGAGGATCAAATCGGGAACGGAGTACAGAACACGGCGGGGAAGCGCACGAGCTCGGGGACAGGAACGCCGGGGCGCAGAGCGAGCGCGGCACCGTCTGCGGATTGGGAATCGACACCCTGCTGGTAACCAGGCAAGTGCTGCTGTTTACTGGCCCGCGGTATTGATACCCTGCCCATCCGCGTTGCCATGGAAGCCGGCAGACCGGGGGATTGATTGGGTGGCTGACCGCTGGCCGTGGTGCTGCGGGGGCCGAGCGCGATCATTGCATCAGGAGAATACTGTCCAGCAGGCTGAAAGTAAACGGCAGTGGTGGCCAGCATGCCAGCACTCTAGTGACCACATTTCACAAAGAAAGTCTGGATTGTTTCACAACGTGCGTTTCAAGGCTTATTTTCCTTTTACAAATTGTGAGACCCTGTTTCAGCCACAGGGCACCAGCTGCGCTCCTCCTGTGCTTTTGAAATGTCTCAACGCTAAAGCTGAGGGCACTCAACAGACTGAGCTGGGGACGAGCTGGTTAAAACACAGCTTCCTTCCTCCAGCTCTGGAGATTTTCAGCAAAACAGAAAAGCTCCTTCGTGACATTTGCTCAAACAGGAACGCTGGCGTATTTCTCCAGTCTATCCAACTTTTGCTTTGAAACCATCTTTGCTTTGAATCCGGAAGTATGGGACAGAAATCCATCAACTGAAGGGGAAGAGACAGCAGTATATGTCATGGACAGCCCTGTTTTTCTGATTTTGTCTATATTATATGTGGAGCATCAAACAAGGTCCAAGATACTCGCAAGTATACAGTAGTACAATATTTTTTTAGCTACTTCTCCCCTTCCTCTCAGTATGCTGTGGCACTGTGGCCTTTTGGTTGCTCCAAACTACAGGAGCGTTTGCCTCCCATTGGCATTTCAAGAGCCGTCCAGAGCCCACAGGGCCTCAGCCCACAGCCCCGAACACTGCAGCTTCAGAAAGTCACATTGCTAGTAAACCTGCGGTAAACAGGTGTTTTTACTGCCACACACTGGTTCTCTTAGCAATTACTTCTCGGGGGACTTTTTTCATGGAAAGTGGGGAAAAGAAATCATCATGGTGGTTATCTCGATTCCAAGCAGACTGAAGTGAGAAAGGCAGCGCTCCTCACTGGCACTCAGGATGGACCCCTGAGCAGCGAGGAGAGGCTGTGATAGCCTATCTGCTCAAACAAGCGACAGACCACTCCGAAAACAAGCCCAGACACAAGCCAGGCCTGTTTTTCCTTTCAGACAGTTTCTGGCCCATCTTATTCTGTGAGATTAAAGTACACTGTCTTGTCACTTTATGTGGCCTTGTCCAGTGTGAAGACTGAGCTCTCTTCATCTGGTCACTCTATAAGGACCTGTCTGCTCTGTATGATAAGCACAGCCTCTCAGCCACAGAACGTTGAATGTGATGCTTGATTCCAGCAGCGCAGTGCAGTTATGTGCCCTCTGCAATTTCTTAGTTGATGGTAGCTGTGTTTCTTAGCCGGAAGAAGAGGAGTTACAGAATTTGAGCATGTCCAGGGGCGATTTCCATCAAGGCAGAGTGTTCCTCTGCACTGATGAGGATCGGCTTATGACTTGGGGAAGGCTTCCAGATGAAGGTGACCCAGGGACCTGCATCCCCTCAGTGCTCACTGAACACTGCACCTGTCCTCACACCCAGCACTCTGCCCTGTGTGGGGATCAGCCCCCTCTCTTCCCCAACACTAGTATTCTCACTTTGAACTGCGATCGTGTGAAATGTGAAAACCTCTTAACGTGACTCCCTTAATGTGGTTCCTTTCTTCATTAGCTTTCTTGTGTCTTAATTCCTAATCGTATTTCTTCTGTCTCCTCGGCCTGCTTGGACCTTTTCCATGAATAACACTTGGGACTACAGATATTTCCAGTTGACGACTGTGTGTGTACACATGATGATAAACTGTGTGTCTGTATAAGCTGCACTTTTATTGTGGTGAGAAGTGAGTGTCACTGGGAGGGCAGATGGCTGTGAAAGCACATTTCACTGACTTTCTGTAGAGGTCAGTTAGGTGGCAGCACCTACTAGGGTGATATTGCCCTTCTGAGGACTGATTAATCAAATCCCAGTCGTAATGAGCTAGACTCTGTTCTGCTGGCTTAGGACTAGCTGAACCGTCATACCTCCAAATCCCCTCCAAATGAGAAGTGTCCTCCCTGAAAACCAAGACTGTGACTCTGAGAACAAGAGCACTGGGACAGGAAGGTCTTCAAACACATTATTCCTGTCTGCTCGCTGTGTGGGGCTCTGCATGCTCTGCTTGAACAGAGAGACCAGTTGAACAGACCTCAGTCAAGCACAAAGGGGAACTATAGAATTTAATCTCTTGTGGTAGGAAGCAATAGAAGATACCACAAGACACAAGTTCCTTTTCTCTAGTGCTGTGTGCGCACACAATATGAGTAAAAGGTACTGTACCAGTAAAATACAGGGCACCTCTTCATTTCCCACTAGTTACGGGACTTTGTCAGTAATAAGGAAATGCAAAGAATATTTGGCTGAAAACTATTTTACAAAATTCTTCCACTTGCTTAAACAAGCTAAGTTACATTCTGAGCTGCTTTTGAAAGTGATTCAAGAATGTGCTCCCTGAGTTTAGTGCAGTGTGACATCTTTTGTCTGTGACTGCCAATTACCAAAGAGCTGTGTTACCCTGATCACACTGTGCTCTTCTGCAGCAGGAGGCTGGAGTGCACTGCAGGCAGAGCATGACTGAGGACCGCTCGCTCCTCCAGGGGCTAATAGCCTGATCTGGGGCCTGGTCTACATCAGACAGCCTGTCTCTGTCCCACGTCCTCAGAGCTATATCTTCGTTAGGGGCAATCTGATAATAACTGGACACTGCAGCTGCCCCTTCTCAGTGATTTATGAATTTTGTGACAGAAATCAAATTTTTGGGGCCGCTGCACCGCGCAGACTCACCCTTGATGTATGGCTTCCCCAGCACCCCATTGAGTTACACCAGGTGTAATTGTGTTATCAAGGCCCTTCAAATGAGGATTTGTATTTTGCTGTTTCTTTGAAGAGCGTTAAGATCAATGGGGGTTAATTTCCTTACTTTTAGATGAAAACTGACTTTCTGGTTCCAGCAAAGGCCTGTCTCTGAGAGCAGGTCTGTCTTGCCCACGTGTGGTACTCTGGAGAGAGTGTTAGCTGTTCATCTAGGAGAGTCCTTGTGGCAAACAGCTAATTGATAACAAATGACGTCTTGTGCATTTTTAATATTTGAGCAAGCACTGCTTGCTGCTTTACATTTTTATTCTTTTTATTTTCCTAGAAATTTAGAAATTATTTTCCACCTTTGGGATCTTGTGCAATTTTCAGTCTTATTGCACTCGTGAGGTTCATTGGAGTGTAACACAGTCACACCTGGTAAAAATAAGTAACTCGCTGAGATTTGTGCCTGTTCTGCTGGTAGGCCTCTTTTGTGCTCAGCCATGTTTTAATCTGGAAAAAGCCACATTTACACTAGTAATATGGGATGTACAAAATGCCATATTGGAGTTAGATACTTGTATAGTCGCTGTAGCTGTATTTACTGACTCTTCTGAGGCGCGTTGAGGTTGTCATTATCTCAGGTAGCTTGTCTGCTCTGCAAAAGAGGAAGGGGAAGACAAATGAAGCTGGTCTCCTGTTTTGTTTGTTTTTCCCACTGCCCCAGATATGCTGTGGTTCTGTTCAAGTGCATTTCCAACATATAACAAAGACAGAACAGAAAACCTCTTTAACACATGATGGAGCTGGATTTAATAAAATAACAATCTTACAGCCAATAACAAAATCAAGCAGGCTTGCTTTCATCTGATGTGAGGCTCATTAACTTGAAAGCTAATTGAAAGGAGAGAATTTATTTTCAAATGCACACCAAGAACTGCTGTATATGCACTTTTAAGAACATAAGAAATGTTACGAATCTAAACATTACGAATCTAAGGATTTCATCTAGCTGTTTATTTAAAAAAAAACAGGGACTTGGCTTCAACTACTTGACTTGGTAACATGTTTCACATTCCTGAACCTTTTAGTCTTGAACATTCTACCTAATACAAGTATTCAAAATCCTCACAAGCACCGACACAGTCTGCCCAGCAGGCTTCTCCAGAATGGTGAGTGAAACACAAGCCAGAGGACACCAGTGGAAACTATGT